TGCTCACAATGGATGAGGCCCAACTTGTATTTTTTTAAACTGAGCATGCTGCTGTAACTTCTCTCCAATTCGTGGTCATTTCTTACATGGTGTACAAATATCCTAAATACTAAACACATTATAAACTGCAGACTACAGTCAAAAGGTTGAAGGAAAATTTCAGTTCAATGTACCTTGGGGACATAGCCATGTTTTTATTATCCTGGGAAGATAATAAATTGAGATCTTATCTCAGCTGTAAAGTCTCTGAAATACAGAAACTACTTCTCTGCACTCTTTGTAATTTCACAAATAATGTTTTTAACTTTCTCCACAGAGTGAAAACCAAAAAAAAAAAAAAAAACCCAACTCATGCCATCAAGTCATTTCTGACTCATAGAGACCCCTCCTTGGGTTTCTGAGGCAGTGTCTCTATGGAAGTAGATTGCCCAGTCTTCCTTCCAAGGCGTGTTACATGTTACATGTAGATATTTTAGACATGTGCATGAATTTTTTATAAACAATGGCAAAAAGAAAAAAAAAACTGTTCATCTTTTAACTAAGTTTGTTTTCCTCAAAAAAGATCTCTTCCTACATAAATAGCAGGTTACTCTCGCCCCCATATAATCTTGAATTGGTACTTCATTTTGTGTTTTGAATGGACATATCCTATTCAATAACATTCTTTTATTTCCTAATCTCTAAGGCAAGGATGGATCCCTACAACTTAATGACTCTGGAGAGGCTAGTTGATGCAAACTGTCATTATTATTTCTCCTCAGTCTATAATGTCTCTCTGCTTAGTGTTTGCTCATACTCTACTTCAGACGACAAAAAGTTCATAATTAGAAATTATCTAGTTTCCATTCTGAATTGAAAAAGGAATGTTTCTTGGTTTATCTCAAAAGCCTCTAGGGAAATGGTTAGACTTGTTATGAGGGAAGTCCTATCATTCCTAAACTTACTACCATCAACTGGACTGGGATTCACAGCGACTCCCACTGAGTTTCTAAGGCTGTAAATGTTTAGGGGCCTCATCTTTTGTGCCTCATCTGCCTCCCACAGAGCAGCTGATAGGTTTGAACCACTGACCATCTAGTTAGCAGCCAAATGGCTTACCCACTATGCCACTAGAGCTCCTTTATCATTCCTAAAAGGGCCTATTAAACTACAATATTTAACTTAACATCACCTACATACTCAAAATGAGACTACAATGAAAAGGAAAACATTTAATCAAGTGTAAAACTTAATGCTAAAGTAGTTTCTCATGCTTGTTGGGTCTCTGGGCTGTCTTTTAATACAATTATTCCTTTATTGTTTTAAGGGATATTGTATAGTGTCTACTAAGCCACATGGACAGATATGTGAACATCACTGAAATAGTAATAATATAAAAACAAACTAAGAAAGGTCTCAGAAAAGGTGGGAGGTTCACGAGAAGAATGTTAAGTGGCTAAAACTACTGAGAGAGAAAAACAATGGGGCCGAGGAAGGGTTTTTGCTTAAGTTTTATTAAAAGCATGGATCAGGAAGATATGATTTAACCTATCTCTCATTAATCCACAATGATGTGTGTTCATTTCACACAAAGAATGAGAGTAAGATTTCAATGAAGTATGTTTTTTTTTATGTGTTCAAGTTCAATTAATGTTTCTTATTCTGTTGCTATTTGCAAACCTGACTGGAAACTAAAACTGAAACTTTTAATTCCTTTTACAAAAGTATACAGCTACTAAATCCTAAAATACTTACACTATAACATAAAACAATCAACGGAAAAAATTATGGAGGTCTTCTTTCCTGAAGATTTTAAAGAAAAGGGTAACTAACCATCCTTCTAACTATATATTGTCTATGGCTTCCTCTTGGCCCTCAGTTCCCTGATTCTACCCTTCACATGGAGACATTAGCAGATTTAAAGGGATACTGTTCAGATGGGGGGGTTCTGCCTCCACTGGGCGCCAAAATGAGGCTTCTATTCTTCATTAAGTAGTTTTGTGAATAGAAAAAATATCAAAAGTGGGCTTGCTTCCAACTTTTTACATACTTGCAGTTAAACATATCCTATTCCTTCAGTAAAATGAACACTTTGAGAATATACTCAGGAGAAAAAACATGATCAGATTATCAGGTTTGTTCAAAGATTCATTTGCCCAGCTTTTCCAACAATTTAAAAGTTATGCTCAACCTGACGTTTCTGTGCCATTACACAATCATGTAATATTTACATATTTAATAATGGTTTTGCATCTATTGTCAAAGCAAAACTTCATGGTCACCAACACCTTCAACAGCTCAGCCATTATCCATGAGGGCTCCACTCTGTCAGTTTAACCTCATCTACCTCTTTCTGTTTCCTGTTGATTAGTCCTTCCGTCATGAAATAGCCAATGAAAACCTGATTTATAGGCAATGACAACTCGAAATGCTTAATTTCCTGCCATACTTAGGAATTGGGTATACCTTAATTTGTATGTCTGCAGACATTTTCATGAGATTGTAAATTCCTTAATGCTTCATTTGCTCTATTGGCCTTCCCACCTTCTCTAAAATCTCTAACACTATTCTCAAAAAGAAGACAATATTTGCCTCAGAAGATCTTTACACATTAATGACTTCCTGAACTAAAGTCCATTCTTTGCTACTTCTTTCTGTCTTTGTTTTGAAAGTCACTGTGCAACCCTAAGGCTCATTAGTCAAGGCAACAGTGAAAAAAAAAAAAAAAACCATATTGAGATATATCAAAATGTATCAAATACTTGCTAAAGATGTGACACCTCTCAAATTTGAATCAGACCCAAAAGGAGTAACCAGATTGATGAGATTATAAATCAGTGACACCAAGAAGCATAAAATTTTATCAGACACAGAAAGGAAATGTGAGTGTGAAATTTTTCTTCATTATACCTATGCATAAGGAGGTCTGGTGGTGCAATTAAGGCATATGGCTGCTAATCAGAAGGTTGGTGGTTCTAATCCACCAGCCACTCTTCACAAGAAACATGAGGCAGCCTACTTCTGGAAAGATTTACAGCCTTTGAAACTGTATGGGGGTCACTATGAGTTGGAATCAACTCAATGGCAATGAGTTTGGTTTGGTTTTTATACCTACGCATGTATTGAGTTAGAATGAGAAAATAGTACACAGATTTACAAACTAATAATTTTTGTGTAATTTGGCCAATTGTCCTGATCTCTGGTGAGAATGTGTATTAAAGCACTGTTTTAACTTTTATTATGTCACATATTTGAGACATTTTACTTTCCTATTTATACCCTTGACACTCAACTCACTCACTGCCATTAAGTCTGATCTGACCCATAGCAACCCCTCCTTGGGTTTCCAAGGTGGTATCGCTACGGAAGTAGATTGCCCAACCTTCCTTCCAAGGAGTGGCTGGTGGGTTTGAACTGCCAGCCTTCTGGATAGCACTCGAATGCCTTAAGCACTATGCCACCAGAGCTCCCATACCCTTGACACAGCAATGTTAAGTCACATTATATCCTTAGCTGCTATGAGGAATAGAGCTGAATCATCAATTTCTGACAATCTTATGTGCCTAATTTTATTTTCCACTGAAAAAAGCTACTCACTTTAGATTTCTGATATGACTAATCAATTCCCACCCCAAGAGAAAGCCTAAATGGTACCTGTTCTTTTCTAGTGCTTTGGGACACAAGAGTTTAAAACTCTACCTTTTTTTTTTTAATTGGTTAATGTTTTAGATCTACTTTTTTCCATAAATGATGAATTAATTACTCTAGAGTAAGGGCAATATTTTCTAATATCTATTCTAACTGACTAGGATCTGAACGCCCTGTGGGCATCATTAATTTACACAAACCCTATTGGTAACCCACTGCCATGGCATCGATACCGACTCACAGTGACCCTTTAGGACAGAACAGAACTACCCTTTAGGACAGAACAGAACTGCCCTGTAGGGTTTCCAAAGCTGTAAATCTTTACGGAAGCAGACTGCCTCATCTTTCTCCCACAGAGAGGCAGGGAGGTTCAATCTTTTGGTTAGCAGCCAAATGCCTTACCCACTGCTCCACCACAGCGCCTTCTGATAGGGGTTTTAAATTAAAACGTGCAAGGACACAAGAGTGTAAAGTTTAGTTGCTTAATATGTGAAAGAAGGAAAGTTGAGATTGGGGCCTGAGAAATTATTACTGAATCTATTACCTCTTATACTTAAATCTGCAACATTTAATGGAAGGAAAAAGCTAAAGAAACAGAAATCTGTATAAATATCTTGGACATGAATGCTTTGTATCTCTTTTTATGCTACTGGTTAAATAGATTTTAAGGTTATGCTGAACTGGATGCCTGACTTTTTCCATGGGATTTTTTATTTGAAAAAGTACATCTGATAATCAAAGATTCCAACTATGCAAATTTCTTCAACTCCTTGAGCAACTGCCTATTCAGTACAAAAATACTTTCTCATGCAGAGATAAATAGGTTCCCCAAGTACCAGGACATTCCCTTGAAGGCCATACGGTGCCTAAATAAACTTTACCACTTCTGTATGGAAGTTATGTAACAATAGCAAAAAACAAAAAATAAATTCTCTCAGGAAGTATGAAGCAGTAAGACTTTTTATAAACACAAGGAAAAGTCAATAAACTAATGTAAGCAGAGGAGCTGAAGATGTGACACCTTAATAGAGAAGAAGTTTGCTTTAGCTAGGAAAAAAAAAAAATCAAAATCCACATGTTACTATGAAAACAACACAAATTAGAACTGCCACTAATTGCAGTATTGTTGGGTGAAAGAACCATAAATCACTAAGATTAAGATTAAACCATGACAGACCTACTTTAAATGAACACATTGCACAACAGCATTGTTAAAATTATCATTTCAAGGTCATGAAAAACCAAAATTAGTATAGGATCATTGTAGCATAAAAACAAAGTGAATTTGATTTACAGTTACATGTATACATTCCAAAGATGCTAACAGGATTTAAACCACTGAGTTATGTATTCAGATTACTCTCATCACATACCTCTGTTCTCGATAGTTTCTTTTCATGAACAAGAAGAGAGAGAAAAAAAAGAACAATAATTAGTTACCTATGGAAGCACATTAAAAGAGTACTAAACATAGATACGTATCACTAGTATTCACTGAAAGGTCTCCACCAGTGGATTTTGAGTTGCAGGTTTAAAACGGAGAATACATACACATAAAAATTTCACTAAGACATTAGAAGTGATAGAGATACTATCAAATAACTATCCATTTTTAAAAGCATGAGTAAGCTGTAACTAATAAACCGTAAATGTTTTTATAACATTAAATTGTATTGAATTAAACATTTAGTAATGTTCTGAAGTCAATCCTATTTCAAATACAGGTTTTCAGACTTTGATTTTAAATAATGAAATAAATGAAGCAAGTTACTTATATAAATTAACTATGTTTTCATAGAAAATCATAATCTATTCCTTTGGAATATTACACTCCAAATTACAGCTAATCCTAAGAATTTCAAAGATGGCAGCATAAATTAACATCAGAACATGTTATTTAATCATGTAAGATTAAAAAAGAATGACTTAGGACATGGCTGTTAAGACTTCTTAAGCCAGTGCTACTCACAGAAGCCTCACATTGAGAATTCTTTATTCAAAATTTAGTCTCAGTTTTTCATTTGGTCATAAAGTAAAATACACTTACAGGAGTTCCAAAATAAGTCAACTTTTAACTGAAATCCGTCCTACAAGGTTTGGTAGTAAGGTACCCATAATTTTTTTCAAAAGGGTTAATTTTAAACTATGATGTAATAACTGAAATTCTGAAGCATGTTAGAAAAATGAAACTACGGTATTTGGGGCAGTTCTACTCTGTCCTACAGGGTTGCTGTGAGTAGTAATCGACTCAGTGGCAGTGGGTTTTGTTTGGTTTGATTTCCTCTAAGATCAAAGATAATGCTTCCATATGGATTTCATTAGCAGCACCTTCATCTTCCAATCTTTTCTATCCACACTGTGAGTATCATGTTTAACAACGGGCAATGAGGATAAAAGTGCCAATTAGTTGCCTATGATTTTTTATTCCTGAAACCATCAGATGCAGAAGAAAATAAGCCTAAAATCTTTCTGTTCAACATGTTTCACTTTTTAGTCCTATAATCTAATTATCTAAGACATCCACCAGTTTCACATGAATAATCCTCATTTCTATTCCTGCTCTCCCCTATACCAAGGATTAGAGAAGGGGAAGTGAGATTAATTGGAAGGACTAAAAAGAAAATAAGTTCTTAGGTCTTAACTTAGTTTTTGTATTTCAGCTAGAATCTATGAAATATCATATTCATATGAATTTTAATTCCTGCACTAAAATTTCTACATTTTGTCCTGAATTGTTTTAGTAATATTAAAACTTTCACCATTTAGGCTCAAATTATTTAGAAAAAAATATTATAGTATGAACAAGATTTGCCTTTTTTTCCTTCATCTGCCAAGCATATATACTCAGAAATTTAAAAAAAAAAAGTAAAACCTCAAAAGAATTATCATAAAAATAAGAAATTATACACAGCAGGAAGTACTCCTAACCCTAATCATTGAAAGAAAGACACAACAATGCTTTCCTAGGAGCAGATGTTTTGGTTTCACGTTTTCTGAATGGTGTTTCTCAGACTACAACTAAAATACTCATTTTCATCAGCAGGTGGCAGAATATCTCACATAGTAGAGCTAACAATTTTCCTTTCAGCCTTCCTGTGGCCCAAGAAGCCACTGAGCTACTTCAAAACAGCAACGCTACATTACCACATAAATTTTGTATTAAGGAAGGCGAGGAAAATAGTGGGAGCCCAAGATAGGGCTAACTTGCCTAAGCATGAAGAAAGATCAAAGAAAAAATATATAGAAAAGCTTTCCTTTCAGACATAGAATTTATAATTCATGTTACACTGAAGTTAGACTGTGCAAATATAAATACACAGCTTCCCTCACAACCTTCTATCAAAGAATCAGTAAGTGTAGAGCACCCAGGAGCTCAGTAGGTTTATGTTCATTTAATCAGGAAAAACATGACTTCTTGGCTGTGCTCTGCTTCAAGATGTAATGCTATGTTAACTACGTAAGCTTTACTATAGTATTGGTGCTATTTCATATATATTCTTCCACAACTGTCTTTCTGTTTTGTAATGGCTTGTAGCATAGAAAGTTGATCCTGACAGTAACTAACTCTTCCTTTTCAGTCAAAAGAAATTCTTTCAGGGTTTGGCCTCACAACAAGCAATTGCCCATATACTTTTAAAGGTGTTTGCTTTGATTCAGATGGCTTAAAACCACATCAAGTACTAAACAGCAAAAACATATGTTATGGATTGGATTGTGCCCCCCACCCCAAATATGTATCAAATTGTCTAGGCCATGATTCTCAGGATTATGTAATTATCCTCCATTTTGTGATTGATTGAAATTATCCTGTATGTTATAAATCCTGACATCTATGACATTAGAGAGGCAAGATTAGAGGAAGTTATGTTAATGAGGCAGGATACAATCTACAGGATTAGATTGCATCTTGACTCAATCTCTTTTGACATATAAAAGAGATTAAACAAGTGAGTTGAGATAGGAGGGACCTTCTCCCACCAAAAAAGAGGAGCCAGGAGCAGAGCTTTTCCTGGGGTCCCTGTGACGATAATGTCCTAGACCCAGAATAGTGGCTAAGGCACTTGACTGCTAACCAGAAGGCTGGCGGTTCAAACCCACCAGCCACTCCTCGGAAGGAAGATGGGGCAATCTACTTCCGT